TAGTAAGGAATAAGTGGTCTCGCGGACTGAGTGCAAGGGCTGTGAATACAGAGGTCTCGAGTTCAAATCCTGCCATCATCTTAAGATTTTTTTCAGATCCAGTTTCTTTCAATAGAGTTTATTGGATGATTGGCGAGCTGAATCGGGCCTCCAAAAATTACTTCAAGTGAAATCTCGAAGCTGTGTAAAAATGCAACCTGCGAAAAATTTTTTTATTCTCTCTGTGTAACGTTCGCCGAATGTTATACGGAAGCGTTTCAGTAAAACGTTCTGAGAACGTTTGCTGAATGTTAGGAGAATGTTAGTCCTGAGCGAACTTCTAACATAACAAAAACGTTTTTCACTGTTACTGTTCTAACATTCGCCGAACATTCTGAGAACGTTTTTATGCTACTTGGGATCTCTTAATTTTATTTGTTTTTCATTTGCGTTTTACTGCGTTTTATATGCTTTTTGTTTAAATAAACTTTAAGATCCTTTAAAAGCTCGAAAACAGACCTTGTAATATTTTTCTATACTTACTTACTTATTGTTAATATTGCGAGCGAATTTTATAATGGAATACATAAGATTCACTCCGCTTTCTCGCGACTATCTGTATCGAAATAATGAATACGAAAGAAATATTGCAAGCCTTGCGACAACTGCAAATATCTGGACACACGGGAGTTTATCTAGCCGACAAATTGCCCAGGGTGTGGACGAAGTGGACAGCAATCGTCGCTAACACAGACAATCACAATCAACCAGGAACCCATTGGGTTGCCTTCTTCCTCGATGGAAACAGACACGCCATCTACTTCGACAGCTATGGAATACCGCCGTCAGATTCTCGCTTCCTTCTGCGACTTCGAAGAAATTCCGCAACGCACACATGGAACACGACTCAACTTCAAGGATATTTCTCGCAAATGCGGGCATTATTGCTGTGTGTTTCTCTATTTTATGGCTCGCGGGTATAGCCTTTCCCAATTTTTACAACTGTTTTCCGGAAATGTCGACGCCAAAGACAAATTAATTGTATGTTTATTTCGTAAAATATTCTCTACGAAATCCACTAATGTACAAAACCGCTTTCCTGAACACTATATTCAACACTGTACTTGTAAAACAAAAACAAATAATCAACTGTAATCTTGTATTTTCTTTTATGTATTCAAAATATATCTATATCGAATAACTGTAATAAGTTGTTTTCTCTTATTCTTCCCAAGAAACCTATTCCTAAACTCCTCACACATTTTTATAAACGTGTTAGTCTACATTGAATATCCATCGAAAACTCTCATAGAATTTTCTCGCGAGAACAAGTACGCGCAGGTTTAACGGTCCCGAGTCATAAACTGTTTTTTGTCTTCAAACTTATGTTCTCATCGGCACGCACGTGTCAACCCGCACGTACAAGTTCGCGCAGATGAAAATCGTTCAGAAAAAATTCGGACACATAAATTCCTTTTTTATATTACATCCCTGACTTTCTAGTCACAGTCTTGCGACGCCTGCTTCGATTTCTATTTCGCCTAGACGCCCTCAACTATGCTTCACGCTCATTGGGAGCCATAAGTGCCCAGACGCTCATTGGTCCTTCCTTGGGGGCCCTATCATCCTCATCAACTATCCCTGAACCTCGCTCATTGGGAGCCATAAGTGCCCAGACGCTGATTGATCCTTCTCGGGACCGATGCCAGCCACCCCCGCCTTTACACTTCCTCACTCAACCGACGCCAACTTGCTCTCATACACGTTTGAACGCACGAGGCAACAACATCGGAGCGCCGCCATTGCCAGTACCAGCCACACTTCGAAACGGATTTTTAAATAAATATATACTCTTTTAATAAAGAATTCTTACTCGAGAACATTCTCGAACTTTCCTCCCACACAAATTCCTCAACAAAAAAAAATTTTAATACACATTTTTAGAAAATTATAAAAATTTATAAAAAATTTATAAAAAATTTAGGGGTCATAAATCATGTCACTTTTCCATCTCTTCCAGTGGGCGTGGCCAATCACCACCGAGGGAGGGGAAAAACCACCCTGGTGGAGCAATGGCGCCAGAAGTGGTGGGGGAGTTAGGTGGAGGGGGTTTGTTTTGACGCGCCATAAGTGCCCACATACTACTCACGTCATCATCGGCAGCGAACGACTCTAACAAAAAGTTTGATGTTTTTGTAAGTGATGTGTTAAAAATATGCAATTATGAATTTGCAGCCATTTACATAAAATAGCTATCTCGCATTAAGCGATTATCTTATAATAAGCACTTTTACTTTATATACATGGTGTCCGACAATTACTTTAACATCTCTTGTAGGCACGTAGAAGGAGTAAAACAGAGTCAAAACGTCTTATACCATTTTGCTAGATTTGCATTAGTTTTTGAGATCTTAATTATCAAAGATCCGCGATTAAGCACGCATCGGGATGTTTTTCGCGCTTCGCGCGGCTACCATTTATTATGTATAGGTATGTTATAGTATATGCTGTTATCTTTGCGCGAATTAAATATGTAAATCTTGTATGTGATTTACCTGAATTTTGTTTGTGAATATATTTCATCGCGCACACGCGTGCATATTGCGCACAAGAAACTATCAAATATCTACCAATATACCAACAAATAACGCGCAAATTGCTAACATATTACAAATCATTTACTCTTAATTTGACAGTGTATTACATACTTAAAATGAATGAGTCGTTCTTGTGTGTGATGACTGGATATTCACGTACAAAATGCTGTCTAGATTTACTGGATATATGCTGTTTATATGATGACGCACTGAGATACGAGTTTGCTCGCAAAATGTTATCTGGGTATACAAGTATTAGCATGCTTATTCGCGGATCTTTGTTACTTAAGATCTCAATAACTATTGCGAATCTCGCAAAATGATATAAGATTTTTTGATTCAGGTTTACTTCTTCTCCCTGCCTACGAGAGATATTAAAGTAATTGTCGAATACTTTGTAGACACATATACATATGTATTTGTAATTATATTTTATGTGTAATTATAGGTAGCTGAATATGTACATTCATCAGCCAAATTTTTTCTGGCAAACAAGATTTCTTCTTGGTTAAATGTCTCTGGACCATCATACGTTGTAGATACAGCCTGCAGTTCAAGTCTTTTTGCTTTAGCTCATGCGTACACAAGAATAAAAAACGGAGAATGTAATGCAGCCATTGTAGCTGGTGTCAATCTGTGCTTACATCCTTATATAACGTATCAATTCTTTAGTCTTGGTATAGTTAATTTTTAAATTATATTATTATTACACAGTACATATTTGGTTTTCTATTTTATCACAAAATAATTAAACTGACATTAAATTGTGCGAAGTGAAAGACATGAATTCTCTTTCAATTTTTTTTTTTTATTATTGAGTCAGATTGCTTTAGCTGGCCATCTCTAGCTGATGATAAACAGTCAAATAAGATGGTCAGGTGAAATAAATTAGCGCGGTAGTAGAAAAACGTTAAAAAGAATTTATTTCTTTCGCCGCGCATGAATGACGGTTACTATACATCAATAATGCAGAATATTGACCACAGAAATAACATATCCATAAGACAAACTATTATTATTTAAATAATTTTAGGAGTGTTGTCCGCTGACGGTTACTGCAGACCTTTTGATGAAAAAGCTAGTGGTTACATGCGCAGTGATACCGTTGCTGTGCTGTTGTTGCAGAAAGCAAAAGATGCAAGAAGAATTTACGCTACATGTGTTAATGTTAAAACAAATTGCGATGGTTTCAAAGAAGAGGGTATCACATATCCATCTTTTGAAATGCAAAAGGCTTTACTAGAAGAATTTTATGAGGAATGCAAAATTGCACCTTCTGAGATATCTTATATGGAAGCTCATGGAACTGGTACTATAGTAGGCGATCCAGTAGAAGTTAAAGCTATTGATCAAGTTTTCTGTAAAAACAGAAATAATCCTTTATTGATGAGCTCAATAAAATCAAATCTTGGACATTCTGAACCTGCTAGTGGTCTCTGTCAAATAGCAAAAGTATGTAGATATATACATAATAAGCTATAATAAATAATCTATTTTTACTTTGTTGCATGCTGTTTCCGCAAAAAGTTCAAATATAAACTCTAGGATTTTGAAAACATAAAATGGTTGTATTAGTTTGAATAACTGTGCATACGAACAACGCATGTTCATGTGTGTGTTCGCTTAGCGCTTTAAGAGGCAATCCATTTTTATTGTCCAAAGCAAAAGCACTGAAACGCATTTCTTATTGTAAAAATCAGTCAGTTAATATTTCTAAACGGTATATCATTTTTTTAAACATTACACTCTACATCTTTTACGCTTAGAAACTTGTCTCGCGAGTCTCTTTTTCGTTTTCAAATTTTTGTATTGTTTTTTCATATAAAAATGCATCAAATAATCATAAATTTACCAATATTTGAAACTTTCCTGCAAAAGTATCAGCAACTTTTTTAGCCTGAAAGTAATATAAGACTTTTTATAAAAGCCTTCTAGGTCGTAGTCTTAGTTATCTTACAATTAGCTGCACGAGATAAATTTGGCTTAAACTAGCCGGCCAGCAAAGTGTTAAAATTATGTTTCTATCACTCGATAATATATATACAGCAAGGTTGGGTAGTGTCTAGTTAAAAAGATAAAAGTTAAGTTAAAAAGTTTAAAAGTTAAATAATTTTAACTTTATCTAGTTACATTTTTAGACTCTTATCTTTTAACTTTATTTAGTTATATTTTATCGGTAACTAGTAACTTTTTATTT